ATAAAATTTTAAATGTAAACATTTTAAGAAAAGAAAATTCCATAGCTTCTATGCCCAAGTAGAACTACTCTAAAGAAATAAAGGAAAGTAAATTTGATTACAAATTATGTGTCAGGAACAGTGCTAAACACTCTACTATATAGTATCTTTACCCTAAAAAGAGCTACGCTAGGTACATACTATGATGTGAGCTTACTTTTTTTTTAATAAATACAGTGAGAAAGATTCAGGGAAATTGGGAAATTTATCTGGTGGCAAAATTGAGGTTGAATTCCCAAACTGCCTGTCTCTAAAGTTTATTACTTTCCTATGAGAACAAGGTAGCTCTTGAATGGTCCTGGCATTTTGGTTTCGTTTTAGAAAAGAAGAATTCAACCTGACTTGACATACCTCCTTATCTCTAGTCTTTCATGAACTTCCTTTAATTTGGCCTTTGTCCCTCTACTTTATTAAAAATGGTTGCCAATCAGTATAATGAGTTTTTCTTGGTCTTAACCTTTCTTGGACTAGAATTTACAATTTAATAGCATTGACCACCAACCCTTCAATCATACAAAGATTCTTTGTAAAGGAATCTTTCCCTGACTTCATTAGTATGCAATTCCTGGTTTCTCACTTTTTTATTTTTTTTTTTTCCATGACTTGTTTCTACCTCTTTCTCTCACTCCTTTGTCCTTTTCAACTACTTCACATCTGATCTTTCCTGGAGTTGAGCAAAGGCATAGCCTTTTAAGTGAATAATCTCTCTCTCAAAGAATGCCTTCAGTATGGATTGCATCTCAGTGTAAAGAAAACAAAACTCTGCACCACTGCACCAATAAACAACATTCTTATCAATGGAGAAAAGATACAAGTTGTCAAAGACTTCATTTTTCTTGGATCAACCATCAACACTCATGGAAGCAGTAGTCAAGAAATCAAACGAAGTATTGCATTAGGCAAATCTGATGCACAAGACCTTTTTTAAGTGTTGAAGAGCAAAGATGTCATCTTGAGGACTAAAGTACACATGACCCAAACCATAGTATTTTCAATAACCTCATATGCATGTGAAAGCATGTGAAAACGGAAGACTGTAGAAGAATTGATGCATTTGAGTTATGGCGTTGGAGGAGAATATTGAAAGTACCATGGGGTGCCAAAAGAACCAAGAAGTGCAGCCAGAGTGCTCCTTGGAGGCCTAATACTTTGGACATATTGTCAGGAGGGACCAATCACTAGAGAGGAATATCATGTTTGGTAAGGTGGAGGGTCAGAGAAAAAGAGGAAGACCCCCGGCCAGGTGAATTGGCAAAGTGTCAGCATCAATGGGCTCACATGTGGCAACAATTGTGCAGTTAGCCCAGGACCGGGCAGTATTTCATTCTGTGATGCATAGGGTCACTATAAGTCAGTACCGACTTGATGGCACCTAAAAACAGCAACACCAAAGAATGCTCTGTTTCTCCTCATTTAAGCAACACCCTTTTGTTGTCTCCTCTTTGTGTGGTGCTTCCTTCCATTTCATTTTCTACCCATTAACTGCGTTGCTATCACCAGCATTGGTCCAATTCCTTACAAAACCAAGGCTTCCTCCTTATAACACTGCTATTCTTCTGCACGTCTAGATTTGGCACTTTTTACCATAAAAATATCAGACAGTAGATAATGAAATGTTCTAATGTGTGCTCTGCTCCATCTACAGCTTTTCCTTCCTTTTTATTTAAAACCCATTACTGACAATTTCTTGACAATAAGAGTTTATCTGGCACTGGTGTTGCTATCATCTTCACTTCACTGGGAGACCATCTTACCTACAAGGAAGCTCTCATTCGGGGGTCTAGCTCCAGACCTGCCTCTCCCATTCCTCCCTGAATGCTGATTCCTGATTAATCTCCCTTAAGCATTGCTTTTATTATGTTATCATTGGAAAACATTCAAATATCCCTTATCTCCAACTGCATAATTCATTAACTTGACTTTCTAGATCCTTTGTAGATTGGCTATTTCTCTGTAGGTTGGGTATTTTACCTCTTGCTACTTTTTAGCAACACAGATATATCCTGCTTTTTGAAAGTTTGCTTTATGCCGCATCACTTTTACAAAAGACCTACATTAGTACTGTTTTCACTAACTGAAAGAAATCCAAGAAGAGTATTGCCTTTATAAAGAAAGACAAAGAATGAAATTAGTGCTCAGCATCTGCTTTGCAGTGAGGCAGTGTGTACCATGAGCATCAAGCCATCAAGTAGCGAGAGAGGTATTGCTATGCTCCTCCTTTGGAAACACATTCACCATCTCAGCATCAAATTGCCACATCTTTGAACTGTCTATGAACACAATATGTGATTGTTATTTTAGGTTTAACATGTCCTTTGTTATGATCAGGTAGGTTATTTTTTTAAGTCTGGGAATGCTCAAAAAAGTTTAATTATTTTATATAAATTAATGAGAATTGTTTTTTCGTCTTGTCATTTGACTTATGAAAAGTTTCATAGGAATTCTCTACTTTAAATAGTGGGGGAAACCTGTGTTCTGCTCCAATAGTCACCCTCTTCACTCTTTCAAGAACATGCCCATTAAAACTTATGCTTTTTGTTGTTGTTGTTTTTAATGTTTACCTTGAGTAGGATGTCTTCTCTCTTGACTTGAATAAGTTCTCTTTTACTTTATGAAGACTTGAATATCAGTTTTACTGCTATTTTGATTCTGACAGATTTGTCATGAACTTGCCTCCTTTTACTCTTTCACACTGCTTCAAAAGCCTGTATCTAATGCACTAGTTAATATTTAAATCTTTACTATTCTGAAATAATTATTGATGATTTGGATGTGCCATTTCTTAATTTTCCAATCAACTTTAACTTCTTCACGAACATACTTGCTAGTTTTGAATAGTAAGTATCAACATATTTACCATACTATTTTTCCCTTAAGAGTATAGTAACAGTAATAGTTCAGCGAATAAGTACTGATTAATGCTACTTTAAACATGTAATCTGAAATCATATTGTGTGGCACTGTATGATAATGTACTGGACCACAAGGTCAGTTTGAACCACAAGGTTGGGGTTCAAACTCACCAGCCACCCCTCAGAAACCCTATACAGGGTTGCTATGAGTCAGGACCAACTCAATGGCACTTAACAACAACAACAAATAATAATTTAATATAAAAATCATTAAAAACTTGAATTGTATGGAAACCACCTAAATGCCCACCAATGGAGGAATGAATAGACAAACTATGGTACATATACACAATGAAATACTATGCAATGTCAAAGAATAATGATGAATCTTCTGAACACCTTATAACATGGATGAACTTAGATGGTATTATGCTGAGTGAAATACATCACAAAGGGACAAATATTGCATGAGATGACTATTATAAAAAGTCAACAATAGGTTTTTACACAGACAGAAGAAAAACATTCTTTGAAGGTTACAAAGGTGGGAGAGGAAGGAAAGGTTAATCACTAACTACAGGGTAGACATTATTATCTTAGGGGATATATGATAAGGAGGTCAGCAAAAACTGGTGAAGGCAAGGAAGACACAAGAGGTGTATAACAGTTAAAGACAACAGAGTAAAGTACTAAGCAACCCTGTAATAGACATGCAAGCTGAACAGGTGTGAGAAGGAGAATGGGACTGTACTCATGAATATATATAGGTTTGGCAGAGGATTTTTCTACATATGTGCTTACATATGCTGTAAAGATATCCATGAATATAGTAAAGCATACAGTGAGCAAAGTTATGAAGCTTCTTAGCCAAAACCAAACACCATGAACAAATGAGTCACTGGGCTTAGGGGTCAGGTCCATAGTCTTAATGGACCGACCTCAAGGACAGTTGGCATAAAATTATCCACAAAGACAATGTTTTACATCCTACTTTGGTGAGTTGTGACTGGGATCTTAAGAGCTTGTGAGTAGCCATCTAGGGTAAAACTATTGGTTTCTTCTTGTCTGGAGCAAAGAAGAGTGAAGAAAATCAAGACACAAGGACAATTAGTCCAAAGAACTAATGAACTAAGTAAACACCAGCTTCCATAACTCTGGACCAGAACTATATGGTGCTCCACTACCAATTCCAATTGCTCTGAAAAGGATCACAATAGAAGGTTCTACGCAGAATGGAGGAAAATGTGGAACAAGACTCAAAATTATAAGAAAGACCAGGATTACTGGATCTATAGAGACTGGTAGGATACCCAAGAAAATGGCCCTTAGATACTTTCAAGTCAAACTGTGCTCAACTTTCAGCCAAACAATAGCCTGGCCTATAAGGTGATCAATAACACCAGGGAGATATACTTTCCTTAGAACAATCAACTGTGTGCAATCAAAAGGGCAGTGTTTGCCCAGTAAAGATCAAAATGCAGGAAGGGAGAGGAAAGGACCAGTGGAAATGATAATCACAGAGAGGAAGTAGGATAAGTGATGCCACATTACAGGCATTACAATCAATGACATGAAACAAAATGTGTATGAAATGTCGAATTAAAAATGAATTTGCTCTGTAAATTTTCACCCAAATAACACTAAAAAGTAGAATAATAGTAATAAACAAAAACTTGAATACAGAAACTTTTTGATTCACGGTGAGACTGCAGAACTATAAATAATATATATAAAAGTAACATATATAAAAGTAACATAAGAAGTAAATATAGAAACTTCTGAAATAGATAAATTAATAGGTGATTGTTTTCATTAATAATATATTTATTTCTTTTAGGATGTTCCAAAAGTACTTTCCTTTGGAACTTCGATTCCCATGGATTATCTCTTGACAAAGAAGGAATACTTAAAACTAATGATACAAGGCACACAAAAATTTGGAGTCATCAACATTAAAGATAAGTTTGATAGGAAGATAAAGCATCTGCAATATTATACATTGCATCATTGAAAATCAGTCATTTAAAAAACAATATTCAGGACTTCCAGTATGGTATAACTGGAATACATTATAATTAAATTAGAATCAGTTAACTATAATAGCCTTACCTTGACATAATCATAAATGCATCTTTGTAAAGTAGCCACTGCCTCCAGAGCAAATGTATTAAAGGTGAGTTTAATTAATTTGTTTAAAGGTGCACTTATGAACCATACACAGTTTAAATTTTTGTCATATCTTCCATTTGAATCAGAATCAGGAGACACGAAGGTATAATTTGAACCTGTCAGATAACCTCCACATCCTTGCTGAGGTCCTGTGTTAAAACAAAGACACATTACTGTACTGACACAACAGGATATGTTTTAATTTTACATATAGGGATTTAGGAAGAATAGAATTTATATTTGCACTTTTATGAACATTAACAGATCCCTCTCTAAGCTTCAATGGGCGTATTATGCATGTATTTTTTTCACTTGGTTTGGCTTCGTCATTACTTACTCCCCACGTCTTTCTCCAACACTTCTGCTGCCTCAATCTCACTCACACAATTGCATAGAAGAGTGGGTAACACGATTTGTTTCTATATTCATTTTTAGAACTGCTCATGTGATTTATTAAAGCTTTTTTTTTTATCCTTGAAACGTTCAGTTTTATAGAAAGTATTTTGCATAATAAAGCAGTTGGAATATATGAACGTGTCTATTTTTATGAACACTATCAGATTGAAAAATGAATTTATGAAGAGTTTACCCAACACCCCAAGAAAACCGGCTCCGAAGAGCATTTTTATTTAAGTAGAAAGAACCTGAGAGGCATTTAATACTGAAGCCCAGATCATATTAAACCATACTCTACTTGATTTTTTTCTTTTCAAAAAGGAGAAACTATGGGAGAACTTTGTTAGAGGAAAAAGCCTACCAAATTTGAAAGTGAAAACTTACAGTTTGACTTATAAAACTATAAAATTGTAAAGGAGTGATGGGAGATATTCTAAAGATGATTAAATGCTGTACTATGAATAAGAAATGGAATAAACTCCTCAGCACATAGGATTTAGTTTTGTCCAGTCCTGGTGTGGCCCTATGGGTTAATGCGCTAGACTGCAACTGCAAGGTTGCTGGTTCAAGCTCACCAGTCGCTCCTTGGAAACCCTCTAGAGGGTCGCTATGGGTCGGAACCAACTCAAAGGCACTTAAAAACAACAAGTCCATAGCCTAAGCAGATGTCTCAGAAGAGCACAAAAGGACAAAAACTTATTATTGACAATTTAGAAAGAAACAGTGAGGATGACTGAAACCCAAAATAGCTCCAGTAGGAAAAGAGTTTAAATAGGTCCTAAGGCAATGTTCAAAGAGAACAGCTACAAATTTCTATACAAATATAGACCATGACTACTAGTTCCAAAGATAAATTTCACAGGCATTGACCTTCCATCTACTTGTCTGATTTTATATATCTTAGCAATAAAATAATTGCTGTCAACATTAGGGGGCACTAAACCTTTGTAGTTGGATCTAGGCAGGAAATGTAAACAATGGCAGCCGAGCTCAACTAGGCTTACAGATCTAATGTGCATTAAATATGCAGCGTGGTTTCAGCATAGGTGCATTAGTTAGTAGAGTTTGTTGTCCAGAGCTTCTAAATCAGAGTATTTGCACAGCACATAAGAATATTTGCACCGTCAAGCATTTTCTGGAGTTGAAATGCTTCCAAAAGCCCAGTCTCTGATATATTCATAAATAGTATCTAAGACAAACTCTTTATTGGGAACTTTGAGCATTACACACTGCTGCATCACATAATGCAAATTATTTTGCTCATAGAAACAGACCTGAAAACTGAATAATTTGAATCTGCGTAGTTTTTGTTCCAGTGTGAACAGATTGTTAAATCAGGAAACCACTTATGTTTATTAAAATTCATAGTCGAGAAAAACAATGACTTAGGGTATAAATGAATTGATAAATTAACTTGTTTGTCCAATATTTTTTCTAATATTCAAGGAACTATCATTAGTGTTGAAATGGGAAAAAAAAGAATCAGGTAGTCTGTTAGCAGTGACAAGACATAGGTAAATGATGATGTTGATGATACAATATGATGTCATAAATGATAATTACACAATATAGGACCTAAAAAGATACAGGAAATGTCCTACGAAATGCACAAGGAGGGGAAATTACTTTAGTTGATGAGGCTTTACAAATGGGGTTAGTGGTAGCAATTCTAGACTGAAAGAATTTCATAACCAAAGATAAATGGATGGGGATTTACATTATGTGTGGGGAAGGACATTGCTATTTGAGAAAACAACATGTCACTCAAAGAAGAATAATGGGAATTAAGACTGGAAAAATAAGGTGGAAACATCCACTCAGGAGTATCAATTACCCTATTATAGAATTTGGTCTTATCCAATATTCTGTGGTTACTGGTTAATTGGCGAGCTGGTGTGGCGCTGTACGATCAACACTGGACTGTTAATCGAAAGGTCAATGGCTCAGACCCACCAGCCACTCCTTAAAAACCCTATACAGGATCACTGAGTTGGAATCAACTAGATGGTACTTAACAACAAGAAGCACACTAGTATAAATACACAAATAACTTGTTGTATTTATAAAACTATAATAGAGCACATGCTTAATTCATAAAAGCTATACAATCTGCTTTCCATATCTGTGGGTTTTGCATCTGCGGATTCAACCAACTGCAAATGGAAGATACTGAGGAGGGGAGAGCAATTAAGTGGTCAGAGCAATCCCTCAAAGTCTAAGTTGTTAAGTGCTGTTGAGTTGGTTCCAATGCATAGCGACCCCATATAGGGTTTCCGAGGACCGGTTGGTGGGTTTGAATCACCGACCTAGCGGTCCAGTGCATTATTCTGCAGCTCTACAGCAGGACTCCCAGAGGCTAAGAGGAAGTATGAAGTGCTATTTACAGAACATTACAGAGCATTTATACTAAATTAAAGATTATAAGTAATCTGGTTGGAGGTGGTTGTGTGCCACCAAGTCAGTTCAGACTCCTAAGGACCCTGTATAAAGGTTTCCGAGGCCATAAATCTTTATGGGAGCAGAAAACCTTATTTTTGTCTCTTGGAACAACTGGTAGAGTCAAACTGCTGACCTTGCAGTTAGCAGCCCAGATCATAATCCACTCCATTACCAGGGCTCCTTTGTAAGTAATATAGAGAAAATGTTTAATATTTAGGAGGCTGTGCATAAATTACATGTAATTATTATGCGATTTTTTTATAAGGGAGTGGAACATCCTTGGATTGGGTTATCCTCAGGGGTCCTGGAATCAATTCCCCAAGGATATTCCAGGATGACTGTAAATGGAAAGCTAATGGTATCATTAGATAGATAATCCTGGTCAGAACTTTCAAATAATTGAAATAAGTATATTCTATGAACAAGTGAGTGTTCATGTGGTGCGGCAAAGGGCTGTAATTGCTCTAATTCCCCACTTAACAGTTCAAACATTGCACAATTGTTCAGTGCCTCTCCTTTTTCTACATCAAAATGGACATGCAAACACCTGTGTCATCAAGAAAATATAAATATGTATATTAACAAAAGCAGAGTTTTTTGATGTGTTGGTTTTTGTTTTTTTTTGCTAAAAAAGTGCTATTGTTGTATTACCATTTCTGCATTTCATTAGTAGCAGATATAACAGGAAAAATAAGGGATAATGCTGTCATTATGAAATAAATAACTTTCATAAATGAGAAAATGATATATGTATATTTAATATATTAATATTACATTTTTGTTGGTGGTGAAAGTCATATTAACCTTGGTATGCTGTTGAGCGTTATAAATCCATCATCTTGCTGGTTACTGCACATTTTTCTACCAAGCAGACACTTCCCATCCATCAGCACTTACTTTACGAGTCAGGTGGTGTCAGAAGTTTTATCTTTACAGCCACCCTCTAATGACATTCCCTGTGCCTGAGAACGAATGTCACTCTAACCTTCTTCTCTAAGTTGAAGAAAACTTCATACAAAGGAGCTCTTTCTTTAGAGAAAGATTAGGTTTTGGCTAAAGAAATAGTAGAAATATAAATCCATAAAAAGAATCAAGTCTGGGTCCAGAACTGCTTAATTAAAAATCAGCAAATGAATCCTAAATTATTTCCCTTCCATTTACTAAATGTTAAGAGTGGAACTCAAGCCAGGGTAAATATGATAAAGTAAGAAATAGTTACATTATCTCACAGAAAGCATCCTGAAGGTTTTAGTGGAGTAAGATAAATTGCTTTCAGCATTGACATTTTTGTGGCTGACATTATGTGTAGCTGACATTATTGAGGTCTTCCGGATAGTGTCTCCATCAGTCCCTGGACGAACACTACTTGGGCAGGTGGTGGACAGCTAGTCATACTTACAGATAAAGATCGGCATTCTCCTGTATCCCAGAAAGCCATCTGTGGCTCTAGGCTGTTGTGGAAGGAAACAGCAGAGAAGCACAGGAAACACAGGAAGCAGAACATGAAGACATTAAAGACAAAGCCTACAGAAAATGGAGTGCAGCAAGATTGCTTCATTTCAACCACACAGGGACACATGTGCTACATCTTCCTAATCCTTTGTTTGAATAAACATTACTGTGATTTTCAAAGCTGCAGTATGCAATTGCTCCAAAGCAGTGAATTCATTTAAAATATTGAACTACGTTTCAGATGAACCTGTTTTGCCTTTGTCTCTACAAGTAAAAATTACTTATTATTCTACTCCCACCAAGACATGGCCATCTGTTTCCCTAATCATTACAGCCTAGGAAACCCTATGGGACAGTTCTACTGAGTCATGGGTTGCAAGTGATGAATCAGAATAGACTTGATGGTAATCAGCAACAACAGCTCAAATGTAGATAATATTTTGGGTGGATTATGAGCTGGGCTGCTAACCACAAGGCACCTTGACTCTGTCAGTTGCTCCATGTGAGAAAGACAAGGCTTTCTGCTCCCTTAAAGATTTATAGACTTGGAAACTCTATACAGGTTGCTATGAGTTAGAACCAACTAGACAGCATACACCCACCATCTGTGCCATGCAAGAGGAAAGTATGAATGGTTTTCCTGATGTAAATATTTTTCAGGAACTTCTCTTAATCCAGTTCACTTTAGATATGTGAAGTGCCGTTGACTCAGTTCCGACCCATAGCAACCCTGTATAGTGTTTCCGAGGAGCAGCTGGTGAGCTTGAACTGCCAACCTTGCAGTTCCAACGGCTTTGCAGTCTGGTGCATTTACCCACAGCGCCACACCAGCACTCCTTGTTGTTGTTAGGTGCCTTCAAAT